GGAAGGCTATAAAAAGTCAGTGATGTGGACGCCGTCGGGACGACCACCACGGCACCTGAGGAAGAAGAGTCCCGCGGCCTCACGACTCTCGAGCAGCGGTGGCGTCGTCTAGGAGATGCCTCGACCAGCGCGACCTCGGACCTTGTTTCCAAGCTCTTGATCACCGCCCGAGCGTAGCGGTTCCACGTGCGGGTACTGGCCAGCACAGCACCGTCTGTGCCGTGCTAGAATGCTGCTCGCCACAGTTGCGGTACGGCAGCTCAGTCACCGGTGTTCCTCGCCTTGGCCAGGGTACAGCCAGGTACCCTCGGGTGCACAGCTCGTGAGCTTGCGGCCCACGTCCGAGTATGGCGCGTCGCTCGGTGCCGCTCGGCACCGCTTGGCGATCCTCGGTCCAGCCAGCAACTCCCCTGGCACCTGGATCCTCGGCCACCCTGGACCTCGCCCGGCTCCGTGGTCCTCCGTGCACACACCCGCGTCTCGTCCGGCAGAACATCTCGCTCGTCCGAGCTCGGAATTGCACGCCTTGGCCCGAACACTGCGAGCGCGCCTCGTGCTACCCGTGCCACCGCGCTCTTCTTCTTTGTCCCTCAGTGCTCGGTGGTCAGCTTCGACGTTTTTGCGATATTAACACGTGACAGTGGGGTTTAACATCTCAAAACCACTACGTGATTCTGAGAAACAGATAATAGAGGGACTTTGGAAATTTTGGCGGCTTGGGGTTCCTTAACGTGCACCCAAATCTGAGCACACGAGCTTACAGCATTTAGCCTCCATCGAAAATGCAGCCGTCGCAGCCCAGATTCAATTTCCCGACCTGCCAGTCAGCAGCCGAGTACCTTAGTCAGCAGACCTCCGCGGAGGGGCTTTATGGACTAACTCGCCCAGGAAGGCCCCAAAGGGTTGTTTCAGAGTGGACACGGGTTAGCTATAGGGTTAACTGTTAGCGATCGGATCAGCTGTAGTGACATAAATGTTAAGTGAAGGAAAAAACAATGCACAAGAGACAGGTCGTTTACCCTAATGTGTTTACATTTATATATTAATTAATATTTGACAACTATAAATAATGACCCATCCCTGGATTTGCTGGTTTCGTTAAGTTTTGTCTAAAAGACAGAATCAGCCCTTGATGCCTTTATCTTTCTTTGCTCATTCATAGCACGAGTTTCATCAAAGCATCAAGCAGATTGGATGTTGTCTGGTAGTACCCAATAGCTTCAGTGGCCAGCTTGGGAAAAGTTCATATACTATGTGACTCCACCTGGCGAAAAAAAAAAGCTGTTCCCCACTCACTCACATGGCTATAAGCTTTTGTTTACGTGCGCAGATGTACCTAAATAGATGGTAGGGCAACCACCACTATAGCTCAAGTGCTATAAAATTAAGTGCCTTGTCCAAAGGTAAATAAAAGCCACAGCTTTGCCACAAAGACGAAGCAATGAAAGTAATAGTAACAAACATGCCCCACGTTTCTCACGCACAAATGATGCACGAAACTTACTCATAGGTACAGATGAACGCAAATAAGCATCTCAGTTGTTACTTCGCTATGTCTTAAAAGCGCCCCCTTTTCACATATAGACTGTGCAGCGAGAGCAGTGACCTTTGTGCGCATGATAACTGCAACAGAATCGTTCCGGTGAAAGCCCACGGTTTTGACCAAGCTGGCCAGTGGGCTAGGTCGCGGCAGCACCAGCACGATGTTTACCCGTTACTTGCTATTTCTGCAGTTCTTCGCCGGCCTCTGGAATGCATGCTCGATCCCTGGAGCGCATGGTTCTGTCCAGTCATTTCTGGCTAGGCACGTGGACATCATTGGCTGTCTATCATGATATGGCCATATTTCTTCATCATGGGACGACGCCTGCGCATCAGCCTTCGAACTACCGCAAGTCAGTGTTCACGGCTACTCGTTACTTGACCAACCATACATCGACAACTGCGTGACTGTGACGTCAGCCACCGGAAGAAGTATTAATGCCCTGCCCGTGGATCGTCTATTCAGTGGGCTAGGTCACAGCAGCACCAGCTCGATGTTTACCTGTCCCTTGCTATTTCTGCAGGTATCTTACCTTTCCAATGCTGAATGCATTCATTCCGATGACCGCTTTCCACTGCTGCTAGGTAGCATTGTGTTTTTCTGCTTACACGCGCTATACTGCAAAAGTCGTCTCGTTCTGAGTGGAGATGTGGAACTCAATCCGGGGCCTCCAAATAAATTGGTGAATACTAGTAAAACCAATTCTTCTAGTAATAAGTCGACAATCCCTAATGCAGTTGGCTCCAACGCTCTCAACGAGAGTACTCATCATGCACACTCCAATTCCGCACTTGCTGATGATAATCTTCCATCTGTCTCTGAAATGTTTTAGATACTTTTGGAAAGGAAAACTAAGCTAGCTCATGATATTACTGACATCAAGTCATTTAAACAAATGGGCACCTGTCGTTTTAATGCTTCGGAATCACGCATTGGTGCTTTGAAAGGTTTTCTTGACCCTAATGAACACAGTGATGCTAGTGCTTTACGCACTCAAATTGATTGCTTAACTTCTAAAATCAATAAACTGGTCTTAAAAATGAGGACCTTGAAAATCGTTTGAGGAGAAATAATCTGATCACACATGGAATTTTTTAAGACCCCAACGAAAACGCTAGCACACTGTTAGCGTAACTTCTGTGTTTAACAATACTTTGACAATTACCTGTCCCCAAATCGAACGTGCTCATAGGCTTCGAAAAGTAGATACTGGCTATATACGACCTGTCATTCTGAAACTTACTTCTTCGAGGAAGAAAGCTGTTGTTCTCAAAAATGCATTTAAACTTAAAGGCTCAACGTGTTCATTTCAGAAGACTTTTCTACACGTATTAGATACATACAGAAAAAAATTTGGGAGGCTTCACTACTTTTCCACAACGGCGGCTCAGTGGTGAAGTTAAGATACGATCATGCATTTAGTGACAACGTAAGTTACAATTGGGAAGACACCTCAAACTCATTAGCGAATGTCTCAGGTCGAGCACATGGCTCTCGTCTTCTTATCCCCGCATCTTTGAATCCCACCTGATCCCCTACATGACCTCATTACAGCCGACATGAGGACTTGGTAGCCCTGAACATCAATGCTCGTAGAATTGCTAAAAACCTCCAGATCTATTGTCTCTTGTCGCAACTCACAAGTCCGTATACTATTGCTGTATTTTTTGTAATTGCCCCATCCATGTAGCCATAGGAGGTCCCTCTGTCAGTTTCTCTGAAACTTTGGGACCTCGTGCTGTAATAACGCTAACCATGTAACTCAACTGAACTATTTAATAAACTTGAATTGACTTGACTTGACTAACTGATTCCCCTCATATCATTGGCATCAAAGAGTCATGGCTTCATTGTAACATTTATGATTCTGAGTTTACTCTGCCCAGTTTTATTGACGTACGTAAGCACAGGAAACATGTCATTGGTGGCGGTGTTGCACTACTTATCCGCTCAGATATCTGGTTCTCAACGCTACCCTCGCTTCCTGAAACTGAATCCCTCTGGTGTAAGGTCCACCTAAATAATCAGTGTACTGTAGTTAGCATTGTATATTGCCCACCCGGATCATCCCTTGAAGTTTTTCATGTGCTTACCAATTTCATGTGCAATATAAATATTGCTTTGTCAATATTGAACTGTATGGGTGATTTAAATGCTCCTGACATTCATAGGCCTTCTCTGACTGTGATGAGTCGTGATGCTGCAATATGTCATGAATTAATTAATATTTCTCTAACTTTTGGTCTTACTGAAGTCGTCTCATGTCCAACCAGGCTCAATTCTATCTTAGACTTAGCTTTCTTAAATACAGATTCAGCTAACAGCAACTTCTCTTGTGAGATAGCTGAAGGATTATGGGACCATAAAGCTGTCTTGTTAAAACACACTTTACTATACCACGTACAAATCGCCTAACACCTTCACCAGCTTCCCTGATTTCAATCGTGCTGATGACACTTCCATAACTGATATTTTAGCTGCTCAGATTGATACGTTTTGTGCGCTTTCTGACAGTCAAAATAAAAACTAATAAAGCCGGCTGCTCAATATATAGATGGATGGACGCTATGAGCGTCCCCTTTATAACGGGGCGGTGACATGTGTGCCACCAGGCTTGCAAAAAAAAAGAGAAAAAACTCTCTTTTTATGTTGGCCTAATTCACTTCCTACTTCAATTAAATCGATCTTATTATAACAAAAAAAAGGTAAGTTTATGTTCCATCTCTGCTTTTTCAGGCAGAATGACCTCACTTTCCCATTATTTCTGTTCTTCATCTACTTTTCTGCCACAAATACTTTAACCGTCTCTTACTTGCTTCTATCACGGACATGTTCAGCTTTCCATGTTTATCCCTAAAACCCAAAGCCTCATGTTGCGTTGTACCCACACATATACCTGGGTGGTTATTACTGCATTCGATCAGAACATGTTCCTTTGTTTTCTTTAGCTGCTCCACAGCATGTACATTGTTCCTCTTCTTTACTGAATCTCACTCTATGACTACATGTTCTAAGGCAACTCGATCTCGCTTCGAACAGTAAAGCGCTTCCCCTTGAATTATTACAAAACCTCTCCCGCCTTATTTCATTCTTGTCCTTTCGATTGTTACTGAGAGCTAGCTTTTTTCCATCGCTGTTGACCTCAAAGCTACACTAGCGACACCTCTCAAAAAGGATATGAGTTGGTGCTGCCTCCAGAGCGGCCTTTTACAGCTGACCTAACCTAAAAACGTTGACTGAAGCACCCGGTGAAACATCGAAAGCACCTCTCTGAACCAAACAAAGAGGTCACCAAGGTAACCCTCACTTTAAAGGCCACACACATGATAAAGCAAAAGATCTCAGTTTCTTTCTCCTGTGCTATGCATTTTTCGATCAGCGCGGATATGGAGGCGAGAATAAGAAAAGAAGGAATGTGACCTAAAGGTCAGTGTGGGGTAAGGAAACACCCACTCACCTTGAGACACCTGCCCGTGTTTTCGAGAGCAGTCACCTGCTTCTCAGCTTCAATTTCTCTCTCGACGAATTCCGTTTGAGAGGTCTCTAGAGCACTCTGCGAATTAATGGACGTACACATACCACCCACAGTTGGCAAACACCAGGAGATAAGGGAGAAGGTGCAGCAAGACTGAGAGACAAGCACAGTGCAATGTAATGCAAGCCAACCCAACACTATGAGAAAAGCAACCCACCTTGACATGCAATCACAAGGAAATATTGAATGTACCAGTGCGAACCAAGCAATTCGCTTCTATAGTTCTTTTGACAGCCAAAGAAAACGGTGCTGACTATGGGCAAGCTTATGGTCACGGTGCAATGCAAAGAAAGCACACGGACTCCTTGAGACAGCGAAAACAGCGTGTTCTGAACATCTCAACTGCCAGATCATCTTCTTCATTCTCAAGTATAGCCGAGGCGCACAACATGGTGTCCGCTAAATCCACCATCGTCGTTTTTGTCCACATGTAGACACGCATCACTTGCCTCCCTCCTAAAATGTATCGCCCCGATGTGAAGTCAGTAATGCAGTTTTTTTTTATGTGTCACGCAATTATTCGCGGATACAAGGCTTCATGCGCACTACGTGAACAAGTTCGGGATGGTGCTGGCGACGCCTCATACTATACAAACTGTCGGAAACATCTTCGTGACATCACTCAGTTGTAGCAGCACTAGGTATGATCCAAAGTATCTTTTTAAGAGCTTTTCGGAGAGTCCTCGTTTCCGTATGGGCGTCCAAACCCATACTGTGTCGCCAGTTTGGTAGAAGACTGTTCTGCGGTAAACATTGTAGCGGACGGCATCCCACTGTTGCTGCTGGAAGAACCATAAGCGTGAAAGTTGGCTAGCTTTTTCCGCAAGCGCCGTAGATGTATGGGTGTCCAGGTCGATGTCGTCACATTCATGCGGTAACATGGCATCTAACACAGTTCGTACTTCTCGTCCATGGACGAGACGGCTGAATGGGGTCATGCGGGTCGTATCTTGCTTAGCTGTGTTGTACGCATACGTTATTTAAGGCAAGATTTTATCCCAATTTTTGTGTTTAACATCTACGTACATCGAAAGCATGTCTTCAATGGTTTTGTTTAGACGCTCTGTCAATCCCTTCGTTTGTGGGTGGTAGGCGATGGTCTTACTATGTGTTGTTCCACTCAGCATCAGAACGTGAGCCAAAAGAGCTGCCATAAATATGATTCCCCTGTCTTTGATCATGACAGTTGGTGCACCATGCCTCGGTACAATATTCACGATGAAACATCTTGCCAACTCCACTGCTGTACCTCTCTGGATAGGCTTTGTTTTGACATAACGGGTCAGATAATCTGTTGCAACGATAACCCAGCGATTTCCTGCAGTAGAAGTAGGAAGTGTCACAACATGTCCATGTAAATCTGGTCGAATAAAGTTCCTGGGACCTGCACGAGTTGCAGGAAACCAGCTGATTTAGTCAGTGGTGACTTACGTCGCTGGCAGTCGAGACAAGTACGGACATGGTGCTTCACGGCTGTGGTTAGTCGTGGCCTTTGCTGTACTCTCATCAACATTATCATGTAACCTAATTGGTCACAAGACACTTCGTTGTGGCGTACTTTGAGTACTTAGGTGTGAAAGGCTGCTGGGATGACGAGCAAATAGGTGGATTCCGTAGACTAAAAGTTTATTTTGTGGAGTACTCCACCCCGCAAACAAAATGATTACAATACTCTTGCGAAAATGCTTGGCGCTTTCTGGAATCTACTGTCCAAGTAGTTAAATAGGCCAAGCAACTCAGGGTTGTCACTTGGCAACTCAGGGTTGTCACATTGTTGCTGCGCAATGGCCGTCAAGTTGAGGACACCGAAGAATGCCGTTTTCTTCTCCTCGGGTAGGGTTGCCGACTCACTGGGTGAACGGGGCAGACAGTCAGTGACCATATTGTCCCATTCCTTCCTCAAGTTTTCTTATCCCCCCGTTACGCTGTATGCGATTCTCAGCACAAACCGTGCCTACAGGGTTCAAGAAGCTTCAGGATTGCAGATCAATTCGTCGAGATTACGCCCACTTCTTAAGCATTTCAGATTGTTCTGGAATATACATCGCCGCTAGCAATAATGCTAAAATGTTCAATGGCGAGAGTATAAGTGACGACACACTTTGCCGCTTATCAGTTGATCGACGACCGACGCTGCATTCGCCACTATCAGTGAAAGTGTGCTACTTTAACAAGAGTTTTCGATTACCGGGCACAGGGTGGCCCAAATACAGTAAAACCTTGTTTTAACGAAGTGAGATATAACAAACTAATGGATATAATGAAGCAATTGTAATTCCCCTTGAAATCCCCATAGACGCCCATGTATTTAAAACCTCATTTTAACCCATTAAGAGTGAGTAAGCGCAAAACAGACAAGGACGTAGAAGAGACAGACACATACAGAGCGCTACTTTCAACTGATTATCAGTTGAATCAGTTGAAAGTAGCGCTCTGTATGTGTCTGTCTCTTCTACGTCCTTGTCTGTTTTGCGCTTACTCACTCTTAATGGATTCAAACCAACTAGCCCACCAACGTGTTTTGGCTCATTTTAACGAAGCAAAAATTTCCCGACAATGGATATAACGAACTATTCTTCGTCCACAATGAGCATTTACTGATCATTTTGGTATAGGTCAATTCAGTATCTTACAGCGCATGACAGTTTAGGTCTCATGCCTCAGTAATTCAAAACTCTTGCCTCGTGTTCCCCACGAGTCGCTCTTTAACACACGTGTGGGAGCGAGTCTCTCTGCCTCCCTTTTCTTTGGGAACTAATGGACTCGCCTGCGCAGCAACTCGCGTGAGCATGCGCGTCAGCTGGTCTCCCCTCTTCTGTAGAACTCGACCAGCCCGCACATCTAACCTCCTTCTCCCCTTCAGCTTTGCGCTGACCGCCGGGGTCTCGCATGCCGTGGGGGCGGCGGAGGTTGTGGCTTTCTTCCTTGTTCGCTGTGAACCAGCAAAACCACCCCTATCAGTTTGTGCCGCCAGACACGAGATGGACAAAGGTAGCGGCAAACGTAAGCACAAAAATATAACAATCGAGAAGAAGTCGGCAATGTTGAAGGCTGTTGAGTCTGACATCAAGAAAAAAAAAGTAGCCGAAGATTTCGGAAATGTGGGTGCCACGGGTGACCAGGTCGCTCTCTTTGATGTTGCCGTTATGCCTGACTGCGACACTTTCTGCATGTATGTCGGTGCTGATGCTGATGAGGTGACAACCGAAGAGTTGTCAGATGCGGAAATTGTGCCTGCGGTGACGGGCGTGCATGACGACAGTGACCATTGTGTGGACACCCCGGAGCCTAATGCTGGCGAACCTGACGTACTCACACCTATGCAAGCGATGGATGCGGAAGACCTGCTGTGCTGCTACTTTGGTGGTTATGATGACGACGAGGACAGACTGGAAATAGCTGCTGCAGATAAAAAACCAGTCATTCGCATGAGGAAAAATCAGAAGAAGTCTATTAAGAACTATTTTTCTTCGAAGTGATCTGCCAGCTGGTTTGCTGAAAACGGCGGAAATAAAGTGCATTGTTCTTTATTATTTTCCTAGTTTTTCCCTTCCGACGGCCGTTTTTCTCTGCGCAGAGGGCAGCTGTGATTTTCATTGGTGAGTAAATTCTCTCTCGCGGACTAATTGTTGGTATAAATAAATATTGGTGATAATGAACTAATGGTTATAGTGAAGCAATTATGGCTTCCCGTTCCATTTCGCTACAATGAGATTTGACTAAACAGTTTGATCTAATCATCCAGCCTCTGCCTTAAGCCACGTCACGACCCCGTAACATCTGATGAAGGTGCTGATTCGTTTATGTACCATTCACTCCCGTCAAGCCGTGAACCCAGCCCACGTCGCGGAAAAGACAAGGACGCCAACCAGGAGCCCCGAAGAAGCCGCCAGCAGCAAGGTCTACCACCGAGGTATGGGCCTCTACTGGACAAGGCACGGAAGACCAAGGCCATGACCTTGAATGTGGCGACAATGACAACCGCCGCGTCACAGCCCGCGATCGTCATGCATCAGCCCAGAAAACCACCGACATTCCACTGGTCATTGTTCGAAGACCCGGAGACATGGCTAGAGACATACGACCGCATGGCCGCCCTCAACCCCTGAGACATGGAAGAGAAGCTCCTACGCGTGTACTTCTATCTGGGAGAAATCACAAGGACCTGGCTCGAAAATCGGGAGTCTGCGCTTCAAACGTGAGATCTTCTGCAGCGCATTGCCGCAAACATTCGCGAGCATCGCTCGCAAACAGAGGACTGCTGCTTTGGTATAGAGACACCCGGGTGCATCTACGAAATGAAAATGTTGCCATTTTCACAAAAGAAATGACCCGCCTGTTTCGTCACTCTGACTCGGACATGCCTGAAAAGGAGAAAGTTCGTTTTCACATGTGAGAAGTCAAACAGGAGCTCTTCATGGTATTGATTAAAAACCCACCGAATACCGTCCAAGAATTCTTCTCCGAAGCAACAACTATTGAAAAACCCTCGAAATGCCCGCACAACAGTTCAACTCTGCTCGGCTCCAGGCTATGCAGAGATACAACCACATCAATGATTTGCGAGAGACCATAAGGGCTGCAGTGCGCGAAAAACTTCGCTGAATGTTTCTGCCATGCCAGTCTCGAGTTTCATCGATCGCAGACTTCATCAGAGAGGAAATCCAGCAATCAATGGGTATCCCTGAGACATCACAACCTCAAGGCACGAGCTACGCTGCTGCTGCCTGACATTATACTCCACGTTCACGTCAAGTGGCCGCGTCGCCACATTTTCATCACCAGACACCACCGCCGCCACCGCCAATGCCATACCGTCCACCCGCCGGCCAGTGCGATGCTCCGAGAAAAACTGACGTGTGGCACGCCCCCGAACATCGGCCTCTCTGCTACAGCTGTGGGGAAGCTGACCACATTCACCATCGCTGCCAGTACCCCCAGATGGGACTACATGCTTTCGCCATTGACGCGCCGTGTCCACATTAGGGTGAAAGACCACGTAACATCGCAGACCCTCA